AAAGAAAACTAGTCTATTTCAATGATCTAGCCTTTTTTCGTGTAGTTATTTTTTATTGCCACTATTTCTTTTTCTCTTTACACCTTCAAACCTCACTATCATTCAAATATTAATATAGTGAAAATTTCAATGAGTGTTATACAACGAGAACAGACAATTAGAGCAAGTATAAAACCGGAGAGATTCTTTAATATACCGCTAACAACATTATATGCCTTTACAAAAATGTCAAACTAGTTCTGTAACAAATGCTGATATACAAATGATGAGGTGTTGTTCTTAAGTAAACACAACAAAAAAAGACATTGAAAAGTTAACTTTTTTTTTCTTACATATTTTTTGAAATGAGTAACTGTTGAAGTTATAAAGAACGACTGTTTCAAGAATTAATCTTTAACCTTTACAAGAAACAAAATTTTTCTTCTTCAGCTAAAGCAGCTGCCTAGGTGTGAAAACAGGAGAAGAGGAAAAAAAGCTTGAAGATGGAAACAAATGTTTCTGTTTACCGCAAAAAATTTTTCATATCTTCAAATCGTCACTTATCGTCATTATTTAATTCTATAAATTCTGATTGCTGGTATTAACAACAGCGCTAGCAATAATAATAACGAGAGCAATAACGTTAATAATAATGCATGCTAATAAACCAATAATATTAATTGCGACAATAACAGTTACAATGACAGAATCAGAAACAACAATAACGATAAGGAAACCAATAACAATAATACAGTAATAGCAAGAAATACTAATAGTAATAATGATTCTTATTGTTGGTGTTATCGCTAGTAACAGTAGTAAAAATATAAATAATAAAAACAATAACAGTGACAATAACAATAACAATGATAATAATAATAATAATAATAGCAATAATAATAATAGTAATAATAGTAATAGTAATAGTAATAATAATAAAAGTAATAATAATAAGAGTAGTAGTAATAATAACAACAAAAATATTAACATTAAGAATGAAACCAATGCTATTATCAACATCGATATTAACATTAATTTTATTATTGTTATTATTATTATTACTCTCATTATTATTATTATTATTTTTATTATTATTATTATTTTTATTATTATTATTAGAGTAGTAGTAGTAGTAGTAGTAGTAGTAGTAGTAGTAGTAGTATTATGACTATTAATATTTATTATAATTATGCGTAAAATCATCACTGATTTTATCACTACCAATTTCATCAATGGTAAACAAATCTTCTTTGTAAAGAGAAATATTTTAAAACTGTAAAAGATTGGACAGTTGGAAGAAACGTATGAAAGTGATTAGGTCAATGATAATTAGTCTATAATACAACTCCAGCAACTATTTAATTGAATTTTGAGCAAGAATAGAGTGCTACAGCTTTGTTTAAATTTTTCTTCCTTTCAGCTTCTTTTTTTTTCTTTTTATTTGCTCGAGGAACTCAGGTAAAACCGATCTATAAGTCAAAAAATGTAAGCAAATAGGAAATCCTTACTAAATGTATGAATGATAACTAACAGACCGAGAATATTAGTCGAGAACAAACAGCAACAGTCATGCATAAAAAATATTACGCCTATGATTGTTTGCTTATTGTTTTGATAGGAGACAGAAAGATCTTCTATCCTATAGCTATACATATCAGTAGGTCTTTCGTTCAAACACAATACTTCAGTCAATTATGTGGTATTGTATACTCATTTTTCGTTTCTATTCATTTAATAAGTTTTTTGTACGCATCGCAATTCCAGTATCAATTTAATGAAGGAGTACCAGAGAAAACTGCTAAATTTAATAGTTTCAGTTTTTTTATGCTATAATTTGTCACAGAACTATGACCGAAAACCGTTTTTGTAGAAACATAGCAATACGTCAAATAAAAGCCTCTATTCTTTCGGTTCAAAGTTGTATTCATATTATACAACTAGCGGTTTATGCTAATTTTTATTTGGCTCAGAATTCTTTCCTCAATCTATAGAAGTGTTGTCGATATGGTTCAGAAGGTAAAAAAAAATCAGAACCACAGCAGGTA